CTGCCAGGCTTCATAACACAGCTACTCAATAGTGTAAACTAACAGCTATTAAAAACAATCTTGTTTGGCTGCTTGTTTGGCAATCCAAAAAAAGCAGGTGTCACTGGGTATTTTTAAGCTGGTCTTCCAGTAATGAATGACAAAACACTGTCTGTGTCAGTCATGTGCTAAGTAGTCCAGAGTAAGCACATGTTCTATATGTCAAGTGCGTCTTAGTAAAACCTTCAGTCAATGAGTCCTCTTGGTAAACCTAAAACTTTACCACTTCATGTTACTTAGTTCTTCTTTCTCCTCTTTTCTTTGTAAGGTTTGTTTTATTTGCTTTAGGCCTACTTGAGAAAGCAAACACAGAACACAAGAAAAAAAGCAGCTTCACATTTTCTAAATTATTCTCTTCTAATTTTATACAAAACCATGTTTCCATTGAATTCACAAATGGTTTCAGACCATCTAAAGCTGCATTTTAACAAAAATCATAAATCCTAGATTTTTTTCCCCTACCTCTATTCTTTTCTGTTAATTTTCAAGACCTGGAAAATGTCATGTATCTCTCTTTCATAATTTCCAAGGAATAGCATCTTTTTCTCCTCTTTCTGAATTAAATATTTTTAAAATGCAAACCCTCCTTTATTATTACTGGAAGACATTTTGATGTTCAGGCTGTGGATTTTGAATCCAGCCATTCTCCTATTCCAAATCTTCTTGGGGTCTATACATCTCAGGGAAACTTTTAGCCAAACCACAGCAGTGGAGAAGCACTGACTGACTTGTGCAGAGGTGGTGATGTGAGGGCTACAGCAAACCAGGAGCTTCAGGTTCAGTTTCAGTGTGGTTGCACGACGACCTTAGTGCTGAAAAGTTGCTGATAGCTTTTTTTGGTGAAGATTTCAGAATGTTAGACACATTACTACTTAATTACATTAGGTAGCAATGTGTTTAACATCCTTACATTACAATAATTATTTACATTAATTCCTTACTTACTTGCATTACTACTTTTTATAAGCAGGTTTCTTTTTGTCTGCAAATGACTCTTGGTGGTCTCAGTCCCTTGCAGGAGACAGTGTATGATCTCAAGTGATTCCTTTCCTTCTTCCTCAGGTTTGTGGAAGTTATGCAGAAAATCAGCACTTCTCGACTTCTTTAATAATCGGAAACGTATTAGTGAAAATGTTTCTATTTTTGTGTTTATTATGCCTAAAGGCAAATACAAATTTGAATTGGAAGAGAAATGGAGCCATAATAAAACAAATATAATGTAACCTAGAGCTCAGCTTGGCAAGCAGCTTTTCATTGTTTCTTCTTTTAACTGTATGATGGGTTGACACTGGCTGGATGCCAGGTGTCCACCCACGCTGCTCTATCACTCCTCCCCTCAGCTGGACAGAGGAGAGATATGGATGCCAGGTGTCCACCCACGCTGCTCTATCACTCCTCCCCTCAGCTGGACAGAGGAGAGATAATATAAGGAAAGGCTCAAGGGTCAAAATAAGGGCAGAGATAGATCACTCACCAATTGCCAACATGAGCAAAACAGACTCAACCTGGGGAAATTAGTTTAATTTATCAAAGCAGAGCAGGATAATGACAAATAAGACCAAATCTTAAAGCACCTTCCCTCCACATTCTTTTCTTCCTGGGCTTAACTTTACTCCTGATTTTCTCTACCCCCTCCCTCCAGCAGCACAGGGGTATGGGAATGGGGGTTTTGATTGGTTCATCACCCATTACCTCTGCTGCTTCTTGCTCCTCTGGAGGACTCCTCATACTCTTTCCCTGCTCCAACATGAGCTTCTCTCTCCTTTGGGCCACAGGTCCTGCCAGGAGCCTGCTGCAGCATGGGCTTCCCAAGAGGTCACAGCCTCCTTTGGGCATCTCACTGCTCCAATGTGGGATCCTCCATGGGCTGCAGGTGGATTTCTGCTCCACTGTGGACCTCCATGGGCTGCAGAGGCACAGCTACCTCACCATGGACTACAGGGGAATCTCAGCTCCAGCACCTGGAGCACCTCCTGCCCCTCCTTCTGCACTACCTTGGGATCTGCAGAGTGCTTTCTCTCACATATCCTCCCTCTTCTATCCATTGCACAGGTTTTTATCCCCCTCCTAAATACATTATCCCAGAGGTGCTGCCACTGTTGATGATGGGCTCAGCCTTGTCAATTGACAAGTCCCTCTTGGAGCCAGATAGCATTGGCTCTGTCAGACACGGGGGAAGATTCCAGCAGCTTCTCAGAGAAGCCTCCCCTGTTGCCCATCCGCTACCAAAACCCTGCCATGCAAATCCAATAAAGACTATTTTTTTCATCCTTCTTTCCAATTGTAGGCTTTGTCTTCAGCTTTGATAGGCCCATTTCTGTGAAAAGGTGGTTGGCTATCCCAAGGGCTGTAGACAAAATAGAGTTAGCTTAGAGAGAAATCTGCTCTCAGAACACTGGATACTCAGCTTCTATATGTATTTAGCAGCAAGCAACCAGCAGTGCTAGGATGGATTGCCAAAGAGAAATGAGATGAAAAACGTGAAAGGATTTCTAAGTAACTTTCCTTGCTGAAAGATCACTTTCTGTGTTGAAAGATCACTTTCCAAGGTGTGTTCCCTTGGTGCTGGGATGTTCACAGGAGGTGCACCAGTCTCCTCATAACCTGCACTTTCGATAGGTGAGAGGTTAATTTCTCCCAACAGGCATATGATATGTCCATAATTGCATCAAAGCAATGTCATTCTATAGTATTTCTGGATCTGTAACTTAGGAAGTGCAACCTATAATTAGTAAAAATTGCCTTCTTCCTTCAGACGACAATTTTGTCAGTCACACAAGCATTGAAGTGCATGAAATCACCGGATTGCGTCACAGCCTCTAAAGCTCCAGAGATATTGAGCAAGTTACCTGTGGAACTTTTGTGCTTGGCACTTATTATGTATGTATACATCAGGGATTGTGCAATGATTAAATCCCTGCATTTGGCCATGATCCTTTCAGCTAGTGCCTTCTCATGCCCTTTGCTCTGTCAAAGGAGTCCTAAACCACTGGAAATTACAGAAGGGAATTTCCCCCATTCAGTTCTGTTTTTCCTGTATTGCTGTAATGCTTTATTTTCATCAGTTCAGACAAGGCAGTAATATGCATTAAAACAACATCTCTTTGTGAGGGTGAATAAACATGGAAATTTTGGTTAACTGCCAGTCAATTAACAAGTGTCAATGTTTCTCATTTTAGGGTATAGGTAAAGATATAGACAATGTCTAACATCCAAGTAGGTAAGAGATGTTTTGGGGTTTCTTATTTTACTCTTTCATGTTTAATATTAGACCTAAACTCATAAAGTGACTATAAGATATAGTCTATCAATCAAATAGTTAATGATCATAAAATTCCTTCTCTCTCTTCAGAAGTTAATGATGTGTTTTAAGCCTTGCATCTGTAGGGTTTTTTTAGGAGCTGCATGGTCAAATAGGTTACCATTGTGGGGCTACAGTTTCAAAGCTGATCCCCCCCAAAACAATGGCCATTTTTCCACTGGAATAGGGGTATTTATCAAGACTGAACTATTAAGTCCCTTCAGCACTTCAGACTTTCAGCAGGTCCTTTGGGATAAAAGAGAGGAGCATATTACCAGGATGCAGCAGCCTGGTGACCTGGAGAAGTGCAGATAGAGGGGCTCTAGCTTTGCAGGTGGTGTCTGACAGCAGTTTGACTCCCCAGCTCTCCTCTCTAGCATCCCCAAACTGCTCAAAACTGTCAGTTTCCATATATATATATATAAAACACACACATACACACACACATATATATCTATATATATATTACTATTATATGGAAAAGGCTCAGTTTTCCCTGATGCATTTCCTCTCCTTCCATAGCTCTCACTGAATGGCCCTGCAGCACTGGCACCTAGGCTGTCTTTGCCTCACCATTTGTAATACTGTTACCTAAAAAGAGCACTTGAATTAAACCTCCAAGACCCAATTTGTGAGCTTTAAAAGTCAGGCATCCTTTAATCGGCGCTGGGTGCACTGGGTATCATCATTACATGAGTATTCATTTTTCATTCCCCTCATTGATGTTCCATATTCACGACATTTCCCAAAACTTCTTAGCATATATGCATGTCCTTATAAGGTCTCTGAGGGTCTTCAGTGGTGTCCCTAAGTAACTGCCTTGTGAACTTCTTCAAGACAGTGCACCTGGTTAAAAAGTGATTGGGTGTTGCCTTGCTGGCTGTCTCACTTCCTCTCCTCATTGTTTCTTTAAATCACTTGGCTCAGCTATCTGTAGTTTCTATGTCGTAAATACTATCAGTTCTTGTTACATCTCTAAACCCCGACATCAATACATCCGGGAGGGTTTGAGCCTGTTCCTTCTGGCCCCTGGAACAACAGGAGGGGAAGCCTAGGAGAGGCTGAACACTTTGTCAGTCTGTGTTTTGGTGCTTTGTCTTATTGTGAGTGCAACATCAGGGAGGGAGAGCAAGGTCTGTGGGGGAATCTGAGCAGGGGCAACAGGAGGGAGGGAAACTGAGAAGCTTACAGCAAAGTCAAGTCAGGAAGACAAATAAGCTGGGAAACTAAAATAAGAAAAGGTGAGTTAAACGTGACAAACCCAGAAAAAATAATGTGGGCTTGATCATGGCTTGGGAAGGAACCCAAGTTTAAGATCATGTTCAGGAAAGGGCCACATTCAGCTGAAGTTTGAGTATCTGCAGGTGTATTCAAACTGGGCTTTCACATCCTCTCCAGGCCAGCCTGTCCCTGTTGGCCAGGGAAAGGGGGTTTCCATGTGGCTGATGGGAATTTCCCTTTTCACAACTTGGGTCTGATGGCCCTTGAGCTTTGGCTGTGCCCCTCTGAGGAGACTCTGGGACCAGCCCTCCCCACGTAGCCTCGCAGGCCCCAGGGCAGGGCAATGACAGCTTCCCTCGACCTGGCAGCCCCCCCGCTGACCCCCTCCATGTGCAGCCTTTGAATTGCAGCAGTATTAAGACACTAAACACAGGGAAACCAGGCTGGAAGTCTGGTTGGATCAGGGTGGACAATAGTCACCATCCACTTGTTCCCAAGGAAAAATGAATAGTCACCTCCCTTGAACACATAAGCACCTCTCTGTTTCTATATTTTTTTTTGCCCCCTGTTTGCATTATGGGATTGTAAAGGTAAAGACTGATAAGATACAGTGATGTGTCATATCAGGACTAGCAGAGCTTTTATCAGCCGTTTGCATTAAAACCCTTTGGCTATTTTTTTTTTAAATTACTTTGTGCAAATAAACTGAAGGCACTTTGTACACAAGAAGTACAAACAAAATGACAGTGCTCCTGAAGTTGGGGCCCCCCTCCTGGCTTTTGTTCTAAATCTAAATCTTAACCTTATCCTAATTTCCTAAATCAAACAAACCATGAGATAAAAGGAGCACTATAAGCACAAGTCCAGCTGCCACAGGAGGAGGCAGGATGCCAGCCTTGGTCACTGGTGGAGTGATGAAAACTGCCTGGGGGTAGGAATACAGGGTGAGCACTGCCTTCGTGATGTCATTGCTGAGGTATACAAACTGCTGGTGCTTAGGTAGCAGTGTCAAAGTTCAGATGAGATGATTCTCTCCAAAAAGCACTGAATGGAGAGGAAATAGAGCTGTAGAGTCACAGGGGAGACTTGAGATGCAAGGCCACCTCCATCTAGATAACAGCATGGCCTAGGAAATGGCATAAGAAACAAGCTGGGTATAGGTGTAACAGATTTGGGATCCTTGAAATCTGTGTGTTAATGAAAAAACTATCAAGCCAAACTGTCCTAATTTCAGGTATTACTATTCTAGTTAAGGTAGTTTGAGGCATTGCCTACTGTGGACAGATAGTCCTCAAAACAGCGCAGAAATAGCTGCATACTGAGAGCACTGATCTTTATGTATTTTTATGGCATTTCACTATGATCCATAAAACAGTTACATCAGGGCATGGGTTCTTTGTTGCCTCTTCCCTTGTCCCTTGGCCAGGGGCTGTGGCTCTGCAGAGAAGCATCTCCAGCATGTCTGGTGCCATGCACACTGCAAGGCTGCTAATGTATACCCAGCCATATGAGCTTCCCTAAATTGTGGCTATTGTACAGAGAAATTATTTTCTCTGAATAACAATCTATTCTGGAGTTCAAGCTGTTTACATTTCTAGAAAGAGGTATTGGCAGTCTGTGAAGGATGACCGTGCTCCTGAGCTCTACCTTAAGAGAAGCCACTTACAGCTCAGGTTACTCTAAGCAGCTGGAGTCAGTAGCAGCTCCTGTGTACACTGGCCTGCAGCCAATCCATTATTTTCACACAGATCCCTAAACAGCACGGGAAAGTACCGTCCTTCAGTGGCAGCTCAAACAGGGTGCTTGCAGTGATGACAGAGCCTCTCCCCGGTGGTTTCTCCAGAGTCATGTGAGGCAATTGTAAGATTCCGTGTTTTTGTTGAATGTTCAGGAGTCACAATACTCAGGTACGGTTTGGGATGGGAAAGCAACAAGCTACAGCTCTTGTTTATGAAGCAGCATTAATGCATTCTGGACAGCACAGATTCGGTGGAAAATACAGACCCTATTTCAGGTTGCTTTTAAGCTCGCTCTGTTTTAGATGAAAGTTCAGATGTGTAATAAATGGGCTGAAAGTGATGATAGGGAATACATGGTATAGGAAGCTGAAGAAACCTATTTCCATGAATACTCAATATTGCTCACATGTCCTTGCCAATACTACAATCTAGATTTCAGAAAGCAGTAATCTGCAAAGCCTGATGTTACTGTGTCAGCCAACCAGTTAATATTGATGTAGTGCTTTTATATCACCACAGCTAGTGACCCAGCTCCTGTGAGCACACCATACTGAAATGAATCTGGCTGGGTCAGCCCATCTCCACCAGCCCCCAGGCTGGGTTTATTAAACTAGAACACAGTAGACACACAGTTTCTGTAGGTAACATTGAGAGTTACCTACATTTGACTTTCCTCATTTCACAACCCACACTCCAACCCCTAAAGCTACACGTCCTTCACCCACAGAACCATTACCTCACAGACTTTTATTTCCTTTTCTTTTAGGCAGAATCTATTAAGCTACTTAAAAAAAAATAAAAAAAATATTTCCCAAACACACTGTTACACTCTTATCTCCGGTTATAGTACCAGGAAGGTGTGCTGGGGCCAAATCAGGCACGATGGAATTTGCCATGGGGAAACCCAGCACTGATGACAGTGGAACCCGCCCGCGTGTGAATTCCCGTGGCTCCTGCCACCCCTTTATAAGCAGGTGGAGGTGAGGCAGGGCTGGCAGAACAGGCAGGCAGCAGCAGAGCACTCACTGGAGCACAGCTGTGAGTGTGGACTGGGAATGGCTGGCTTTAGCAGCAAGAGCATGGTCCTGGTCTCCCTGATGGGGCTCCTGGCGCTGCTCCTGTGTGGCACCTCCAAAGGTGAGTGAACTCTGGCGTTCTGCCCCAGGAAGCGGCTCTTGGTGCTGCTCGCAGCTGGCAGCAGGAGGAGGGTGAGGTGGGGGGAATGCTTTCAGCAAAGTATGCTGCCTCATCCTCCTCTTCTGCCAGGAGGGAGCTGGATAGCTGGGTACAGCGAGTACTTAGACATCACAGCAGCACGAGCCAAATGGGTTTTATTTACTTTGCTGCTTTCCTTGATTCCAGCACACAGCAATCATGATTGCTGCCTGTCTTACACCAAAGTGCGTCTGCCTCGGTGGGCCCTGAAGGGCTACACTGAACAGCTCGCCAGTGAAGTCTGTGATATCCCTGCAATCATGTAAGTTACTTTTCAGAAGATCCTCCAGTTTTTCTGATGCATATTAACCTTAGGATGTCTGTTTGGGCAGAAATAATTATTTGAATGATTTTTCTTGCTTTTTCAAAAACCTAAATTAACTGAATAAATTGTATATAATACCTGTAAACAAAATACACAACCTGTAGTTGACAGGGACTACTAACTCATGGGACAGCCATACAATGTAAATAATAAATTCCTGACTGTTTAGGAATCAGCTGTGCAAACAAAGACGTGCTTCATTTCCAGCTGAGGGCCACTCTAGCCAACACAAGGTGTTCCCTTGCCAAGACCTGTTAGCAGACACATAAGTGACAAGAGTTCTCTTAATTCACAGAGATTGGATTTCCTTTTCCACAAGATTTTGTCCCTCCTAGATGTTGATCTGTCACCTTAGTTTGACAGCAACTAATCTCCTTAATCTTAGAAATTATTTCTGGTATCCAGTAAAGGTCTTTGTCTCAATGGATCAAGTAAATTGAACACAATTTTATGGTGCAAACAATAAGCAGCTATTACATTTAAATTTCATTGGATGTTTCTTTATGTTCATATAATATTGGAGGAGTTTGGATTATCCTATATCTAAATGCCATTTACAAAAGCAGTTGTTATTGTTCATTATATAGAGTAACTATGGCACCTTTTTTTACAAAATGGATCTTCACAGTATTTACTAGCAGGGATTTCTAATTATTTACTGATTTCTTTATCATTATCTCTTTTCCAGTTTCCACACCAACAGTGGGCTGAAGGCCTGTGTAAATCCTAAAGAAGGCTGGGTGAAGAAGCATCTTCTTTTCCTCAGGTAGGAATCTAAACATCTAAATAATGACAGGCTTATGAAAACAGGGCACATATGAAAGCTTGTTTCTCACATCTCCTGATGGCGTTGGTGAACACATTTGTCTTTCTATCTCCTGTCAGAATTGGCTACTCCTTTTTAGAACCTTCTCAGGGACAGTCGTGTCCACATGTCCCTTTGCCTAACTGAACTATTCTCTCAGAGAAGAAATCTATAACTGACCTGTGGCTGAGGTCTTCATTTATGTGTGTTCTCTCTTTTTTTCAACAGCCATAAGCTCAAGAGGATGTCAGCCTGATATGGTTTCCAGCAAGGAAATAAACATAGACATGGCTGAAGAATCACCAGGTTCAACCTCTTGGTTGAGATTGTCTTGTACACTGTTGTGTGCTCACTCACCTCCAACTCAGGCTTCTTTGGAACTGTTGAACTTCTCTAGTTGATTCATATTGCATCTCTGGTTTGCTTGAATTAAGCATTTTGTTACAGTTTCTATTTTTACTAATATGTGTACTGATATGGCATGATATTATTTAGTAAAGACTACCTTAAGCTGTTGTACAGAGTATTAAGTTTATTGCATGTTGTTTTTGTTTTGTTCCACATGTGTAAAGTGGCTTATTTATTCTATTTATTTTATTACTGTCTCGTGCCAAAATGTTTCCTTTTAGCTGTAGTTAGCATTATAATACTTCTTGAGCTATTGCTAAAGAAAATCTGCCTGTGGAAAAAAAATGGAAATTGGAGTTTAAAAAAAAATAAATGTTAAAATCGGCACTTTCTGTGTGATACGTTTATTTTTTTAATTAAAACACGTGACTTCCCCTTGAAATGAGTCCCTTTGCTTATGAGCCTCCAGCTGAAACAATTACACAAGTGGGTTGACACCTGTTAAAGGCACTTTCCACCTTCCTCACTTTGTTTGCCCTAGGGGTAGCTATGACCTCCACAGGATGTAATTGCTTCCTCACCCCCAGACAACTGCTATAAATCAAGCTTTTGCTTAACATGAAGACCTGTTCTTAGCTCAGTTTGATCTTAACTAGACTCGAGAGACTTTCTTTTACATGTTTCTCTATTTATTCAGGAGGAACCTTACACATACTGTCACTGGGCAAGCTTCTAGCCTGAGGAGGACTGATTATGGTAACACAGTCTGCTCTCAACTCAAAAGATGATATATCTCTAGAGGAGAAATTTGCAGTGCTTTTCTGCCCTTTTTATGTTTCCTATGGTATCCTATGGCTTCTGCCATAATGAGGTTTTCTTGGTGCAGGATCTCTTGATGGAGGTTAATGATGCCTGACAAAAGTAATGAGACTTCATGGAAGGTAGGAGATGGGTGCAGGTTGAATGGGGAAGGCTGCTCAGCTCTTTACATACTATTACATGGCACACATGAAATTCAGGGATGTGACCATGTAGGCTGTGTAGTTCTCTCACTCTCAGCACTGGAGTATTATGGATAAATTTACACCTTGGCTTGGTACCTTTTAGTCATAGAGATACAAGCATTAATTTTAATTTAAACTGAGAGAGAATATATTTTTGGTGCCCTTGAGAGAGGAGCTGAGATGAATTGGGTTTTTAAAATGATGGTCATGAGTGGAAGGCTGTTATGTTCCGGTTTCAAAACTTGCTAGGACTTAAACAATCCGCTTGTCACTCTGCCAATCTGGGAACTGTCAGTTCTCTGTGAGTGAAGCTCTGAAGGAGCGAGATAATTTAGCTTTAATTTTCAGCAGGTGGATTTCATGTCCTTGATATAGAGGATATCAGGTGAGAAGCTATCAGCTTTCCAGGGAGGAGCTATTACCCAGCATGTTCCCTAATCCTTCCCCCATATCTTCTAGAACTGGTGCGGGCTCCGGTTTGGGATCAGAGAGTTTTTAGGCTAAATCAGCTACCAACAAAATGGTACAGACAAGACTAATGGATCTGTGTTAAAAGTGTCAGAAGCCGAAGTTCCCCAAGCCTACCCTGGGAACAGGTGAGCATTGGTGGAGATGTTAGGAACCAGAGCTGTCATGAACTTGGTGCAGAAAAGCCTAGAGACCAAGCTAGTGAATTCAAAGCAGGGGAGCAAAATAAGAAAGTGAAGACAAATGTGTGAAATTCTGTGGGTGGTTCTTTACTCCCTAGTTGGGCCTGTTAAAAGTTTTGTATTGTTTCTATAACTTGTCCTTCCTCTGGTCATCCATGGTTGCATTGCTACAAAACCCCACATGCTTCATCCATAGAGCTATGACTTGTGAGATTTCTTTTTAGTTCCTCTTATTCTGGTTGAACTTTTTTTATATCCAACCTCTTCTGAAGAAAAAAAAAAATAAATATTTGTTTCTATGCCCAGTATCAGAAATAGATAAGGTTGTTATGTTACTGGTACAAAAGTCTGTGTAAAAATAACATGTCCCTCCATTAATTCCTGAGGATAAAAACAAGTATTATAAGCAAGTGCTGCATCTCCAAAATCATCAGATCAGAGGCACATTTTTGTAAGTAACCTTAAGTGCTCAGTTAAAAGTTCTGACAGCTCTGTAAATCATGACCATTTCTAGGAAAACTTGAATCCTGATTACTTTGGTGGGACTGTTTTGCATCTCTGTAGGTGAGTTTCTTTTTCCTCTCTATCTTTGGCCTTCAGCTCCTAATTCAGCATGTGCAATTTTGTTGAATAATTTGAGATGCAGTATTAGATGATGATGGTAATTTGGGGACTTTTCCCCTTCTATTTACATAATTTTTCAAATCGAAATTATTTTTTCTTGCGAAGTGCTGAGGCTTTTTACTACAGCTTGGATATCACTTGGGAATTGGGTATAAGAGCTTTTCCTTCAAAGTCTCAGCACAACTTCATACTTCACTTTCAAAATCTCCTTCTTGTGCTGTACTGAGACCAGTCCTCAGTGATTCTTGTGCCAGCTGGAGTATTACTATTGAATCCTATTTGTGCATATTCTTTCTGTGTTCTTTTTGTTTGTTTGTTTTTGGTGCATTTTTAAAAAAATATATGTTTTTGCTTCCTTTTTAATTTCTTTTTTTCCTTCCACAAAGCAATCTCACACCAGTTCCAGTCAAGACACTGCAGCATTTTGTTTTGTTAGGATCCTTGACAGAATACTTTCTGTTCACATAAGAATCATAATTAGATTTACTAATTTCTTATTTTTTTTTTAATCCCACCCCTGCACAAAGCAACAAAATAACTGTGCATGGAAACTGATTTTTGTAAGGAATAGCAAATCTTCTGCTGATTTAATTTTGCTGGAAAAATATAAAACCTGATGCATTTCACCTGCTAGGCAAGTACTAAGAAGTTATTTGTTGCATTACTCTTCAGCTGATAGTAGCTTTTGGCTATCAGTTGAAGACTGGTTTTTTGTTCCTCATCTATTTTTTCCACCTTCCACACAAAGGGGGGTTATAAAGCACCTGCAAATCCAAGAGACAAATGGGTGAAGACCCTTATCCTGCAGTGTGCATGTTTTCAAGTATATCTGAAATCCAAGCACTACTGGGTGTGTTTAGTGTCAATGGCACTTTTAGCTCCTAGGGATGTTGATAATTGGTCAGTTATTTTCAATTGCCAATACCAATGAGCCCACATGTAGCCTGACTTCACTCCTGATGAACTGGAATGCATCATTCTGTAATTTTGTTGAGAATTGAATCAGGGAACTCATGAACCAAGAAGGGCTTTAAGCTTGTGATACTATCACTTGATTCTAATGACATCCATCCAGCTGGATAAACATCAAACCAATACATATGGATCAATTGTAACAAGCCTTCTGTATGCTGAGTTAAGCTGTGTTACACCCTGGCAGTCTTGTTCCAAATACCAGGCTACAGGCAACATCCTTTGCCAAAATATGAATCATAAAAGAAGCTTTTATCACCAGACTAAATCCAGTGCATTGTTCATGCTAAGTTTACTATGCAATTATAGTTGTATGATCGTACATAAATGAAAACTATGATCTGTGTTCCCATGATGTCGTGGTTTCTGTGTTCTGGGAGGTGTCGGCCTCAACTGTGCAGTGTTGCAGTCCTAAAACCCTGTAAAGGCTTTTAAATTGCTGTGTTTCTTCCTTCTGAACTTCCAACTGCAGATAGCTTCCAGCCAAAGCTCTCCTAGAGTTGCTGGTGTTAGAACATTTAAACAGTATACAATAGGTGCAGTCCTGTGGCTGCTATTATACATTGACCATAGTAGCTCATGTAAATGAATCCAGGCACTTGTTTAATAGTCTTTTATCTTCCTTGAATTTATAGCATTATTCAAAGATTATGCAATCAAAAATACATATTAAATGTAAAAGCAGCAGATGAAATTTAGAATACTGTATGGTTAAAACAGAAATATAGTACAGGAAAAGTAGAGACTAAAATACTATTGTTAATTCTTCTTATTAATATACAACAACATTTCTGTAGTTTTGCTTCTATGACTTCAGTTATATCCCCAAAATAAAGTAACAATTTTATTTGTAAGCACCTGCATCTACGTTTCCGTGTTCCTGAAGTTTTGCTGCACTCTAACTTTACTGCTGGAGATGGATGTAGTGGTTCACAGCCTTTAGAGAAGATTTAGTGTGCTCAGGCCAGCATTAGCTCTTTCCTGTGCCACAGTGAATGAGAAGACACACAGGGGTAGCTGTAATAAGCTATCAGATATGCTCTTCTGTTAGCTGACACTTGGTAAGACATGTTCATGGTGAGAATGAGGGAGAGAGAGAGAAACCAACTTCTGAAAATGGGAATAGTGTGGCCCAGCACTTGGGATTCCTGGTGAGAAAGCCTGAATGATAGGATCCGTGTGATAGACAGCTACAGGATAAAGTAGCTTAGGAAACATGAAACACTGAAATAGTTCAGTTGGGGTACCATGATTAGTGAAGCCATGTGCCAAAGTGTACAAAACAGTGCACAAAGCATTTCTAATTTCTTAGCCAAAATTTAGGTACACTTGTGATTCAAGCTGTAACTGTCTTCTCTCGTGGCAATGTGCCCATAAGCAAAGAAAAGCAGAACATTTATGTGTAGGCAAAAATGTTATGTGTAGGATGGCCTAGTACAACAAGTACTCGACTCTTCCTATAGCTTTTGGATGACAAAATTTAGTCAAAACGTATATCGTTCTGAGCGTGGCTTGCAAGGGAATAAACCCTGTACCAAGAATTCATACACACAACTATTGAGGTGGCAGCAGATGGCATCCTAAGGTACCAAGGGCAGAGAAACATTACAATCTATTAGGAGCTACAGACTCACACCTGGAGGGAACAGCAGGTGCTGTGTATGCACTGACTGATCAAGCCATCTGATTAGAGTCGTGCCAGTGAGATGGGTTCAAGTGAGTGGTCCAATTTGCAGTGAAACTGTCAATTACACTGTCAAGATTAAACTAGTAATTTAATATCCTTGCAGCATCATTGGTCAGGCACAAAGCTACTGATAACACTATAAACTTACAAGGTAGAAAAACAGGAATTTGATAGATTTAACGTGGCAGATAAATCAAGCTGTAGAGCGGCTTCCAAATGTGGCAGTATCTCATGTATGAATAAGCTGTGTTATACAGCTGTATTTAGGGAATACAAATCAAAATGTTCATGTAAAAGTTTGCCATGCATATTTGAAAAATAATATTTTAGCTATATGTCCTACTACAGTGATTTGGTTTTTTTTCAAATGTACATTTAATAGAGCTGGTTCAAAAAGATGATTGTGTTCCCATGAGCATCTGAATGTTTCATGTTGTTATGACTCAGAGT